GGGGGGGGAGGGGGAAGAGGGGGCAGGGATTTGAAATTTACTTTACCTCTTCCAAATACATAAAGCCCTGAATATCTACCCTCTTTTGAAGCTCCTCGAATGTCCCAATATCCTTCATCTCCCCATCCTGAAGCAGGAGCACTCTATCGCACCTGCAACAGCAATTCAGGGCATATATTATAAGTCCTTTTCATTTTCATTCTTTTTTTTCATTTTTCTATTCTGACATCTGTTGTGGAAAGGCGGTTATTTTAGTAGTAAGGTTGTCTGTACGCTAGCGGCCTTGTCGGTACAGTAGGAGTAGCATAGGTTGCAGTCTTCGAGCTGCTGGGTCTTAGAAGACCTGCAGGCTTGTCCTGTAAGCTAAGCTGGATGATGCTTCCACATACCTTCCGCGAGTAATGTTGAGGATCCCCGGCCTCGGATTCTGTTATGAAATGAAAGCTGATTTTTGGAAGGGAAAAAAAAAAGACAGTTTGCGGAGGCCTGAATTTTCAGAAATTTGTCATGCCATTCATAAGAAAACTCCAAGGCCTTTATTTTGAGGAAGTTGTCAAACTTACCAGGGATACATAGAATGGTACTCGCAAACCACCCTGATGAGCAGAGAGCAGAGAGCAGAGAGCAGAGAGAAGAGAGAGAGTCGAAACAACCTGTGTAGGTTGTGACAACGACTCAAAGCTCGAAAAGGCTAACAAACCAGTGTAGTCGACCACGACCAGAGAAGCACATGGAATAAATAATGACAAGGGATGATGAAGAGGGAGAGAGAAGAGCAAAGATGAGATGAGAGAGACGCTGGTAGCCTGGTACACCTGATGTGCCAAGCCACTATCATGCAAATAGCAAGAAGGCTGTGAGCAATCTTCACAAAAGACAAGCTATACATATATATATGATGATATATATATCGTCATATATATATATAGCCTCCTGATGAGTCGGTGAAACTCCGACGAAACAGTTTGTCACAGCCCCTCGTTTGTTGTCCTCTTCTCTCTCTCTGCCCACGGTTTACCGGGCAGTTCTGTTTGTGACGATATATATGCAGTTCTGTTTGTGATGATATATATATATATATATATATATATATATCGTCACAAACAGAACTGCCCGGTAAACCGTGGGCAGAGAGAGAGAAGAGGACAACAAACGAGGGG